AGTAGCAGAGGCGGGCAGAAGGCAGGCAAAAAGGATGTGAAAGCAACAAGAGGAGTGTGGGAAATCAGGTTAACAAAGTGTTTCTCTGCCCTTCCAGTGGAGACCAATGTTTTCCCATTCACTTTCTTCCAAAACCTAAGTTAAAAGTGCAGAAATTAAATAATTTATCAAGCCACCGAGAAAGAAAAGGCACAGAGTAATCCCATAGATGGCATATTTGCTTTATTCAACTTGGTGGTCAGCACCAAAAAGATTAGTGCATTAGATGTCATTATAGATATGAGAGATGTTTTCACAGGACAAGAAAGTTTGCTTTCACTATGTCACTGGGAATGCAGCCATTTGCTTGAATCAAAGCAGGACCAAGTCCTTATGTGGCTATCTTAAAACGTTACAAAAGAGCAGTCTCCGGTTAGAGATAGAAGCCTCCAAGCCTGTCCAGAAGCTGCTTGTTCCTCACTTGTTAATTTCCTGTGAAGGACTCTGAGGGTCGTGGCAAGGTCAGAGCAGGTGAATCTTCTTCTGGTGCCAGTCCTGGTACCTGGAGAGCATCACCTCCTTTTCTCTTTCGTCTCTTAACCTGGATGTGCCAGTTCAACTTTGCTCCTAGCCCCTGTGACACCTCTACAGAACAGCAAATGAGAGAGAGTACTCTGAGCATTGATACAAGATATCTGCCCAGCTTCCTTTTACCTCTTAGTGCCCGTTCCCAGCCCTGTTTGTTCCTTTTACTGTCTGTTGTGTTAAAATGTATTCACTTTGAGGAATTTGGGCATGGTGGTGCTGCACACAGGTACCAAAAATTAGTGCCTTCTCCATAAATCTATTTCTTTAGTGTCCCTTCAATACATGACCCTTTCATAAGCTTCAGTGCTTGTTTTCAAACTCATTTCCCTCCCCATCTATCGTGCAGCATCTGACTCCTCGGACTAACTCAGAAATGCACATATCCATCTCCTCCTAACAGAAGTAAACCTAATGCTCTGAACCTCCCTTCCTGCTTCTGAACCTTCTCACAGTTTCTCACCCTTGCTGCCCTTTATGCTTTCTTTACTCTTTGTTGGTGAACGTTTGCTCTCAAGGGGAAAGAAGACCTTAGTTACAGATGCATGAAATACCAGGGAAGTTTTGAAAAATCAGTAAGCCAAACCTTCATTCCTGTCTGGAGGAAATGGGATGTCATCTCACATTTTTAAATAAGAGAGAAGGTCTCTTTGAGGCCCCCAGATGGGCTTGCAGGTCTAAGAGCCTATCACATATTTTGTACTGAATGCTAGGAGTGGAAGATTGCTGAAAAAACTATTCTAACAATCATCACCTGCATTTTCAAGTCTTGTTTTACTGGCCGTATCAGCCCGAAGGCAACTGAAAACTGAAAGGAGCAACAACAGTCACCATTTTCATGCTTCCAGCATAGCTGACCTATGTTTACATATCCCCAGAGAGAAATGTGAGGAGTCTTTGTCTGTTCAAAGACCAGTCTCTAGACAAGCCCGAGTGTGGGCTAACAGGCTGTCGTGTAGATAACATCAGTGTGATTGTCTGCAGTGCTTGGCTTAGGATCAGTCCTTTCATAACTGCAAGATGTGAAAGGATTAATACCAAGCTTTTAATTACAAGTCCAGACACTATGAAAGGCAAAGAAAGGAAGGGGTTAGTGAAATGGCCTATTTTATTTTTCAGTAGCTCTCATTCAATATCCCTAAGGCTTTCCTACCTCCCATTAAAATTTTACCTGAAAAATGCTGATTGTAAGAAATCCTGTAGTGATACAGGCAAAGAAAAAGCAGATTGTTAAATACTCTTTGCTGCAGTAAATCTCCAGGTACTTGAAAGCCAGTAGGGCATGGGAAGGAGAAAGGGTGGATGAAACAGGGGCTGCATATTTTAATAGGATGATTAAAAATCCTGTATCAGAACTTGTCAAATACCAGATATTTACGTACAATTTAAAAAATGTTTTATTGCTCCCTTTTTGCAAGCTGTACTTTTGTCCGCTGTTCCTGTCTATGTGAAAACTAAAATTTCCCCAGTTCCTGCAGAGCGCTGCTTTCTCTGCCCTCCTCTTTCCCTCTAAGCTTGTTGAATAAACTGCTCAGCTGAATAACTAGAGATACTTCCCTCCCTTTTTCTCCCAACCTAGCAGTCTTTCCCTATCCAGTATTTTTTTTAGTGCTCTTTTTCCATTCTCTCTGCTGACTCCATTTGCTTATGAGGATGAGGGGTCCAAAGCCACATAATGACCAGATTTGTCCACATTCCTGCAATCAAGGCTGAGTGTTTGATTTATTTTTTCATTGAAAGAGAACATTCACCTGAAATAGAAATGAGTCTGAGCAGATATAAAATGAGTATGAGCTCAGCATGCATTCAGAGCAGCTTAGGGTGAATTAGAAGTTACAGATGTGGAAGAGCTATCCCTATTCCAAAGCATTTGCACACGTGTGGAAGGAGGCAGGTGGAGCTCATGGAGTTCTGACCCAGAAATAGCTGAGAGTTTGGTAGGTTTTCCTATATTAGCCAGAATTTGACTTATGTGTTTCTCCTGGCTGCTTGTTTAGGCCCATCTCTGAATCTGTTAGCTGAATGATGCCCGTCCAGAAACTAACAACTATTTGTTTGGGGCACTGGTATAATTCGACACATAGACGGAAAAAGGGCCAGCAGTAAGTTAAACATAAAAGAGCAAGTACAGGAAGGCAAGGAATGAATTAGATGAGTAAGACTGAGATCCATCTCTCTATGTGTCAGCCATGTGATTTTTCTCAATGACTGTTACCACACAGAGGAAAGCAGCAACTACATGGGTAGCATGGGGCAGCAGAAGAAGAGTAATGCATTCAGTTTTGGAGGGCACAAATGCTATCTTTTTTCATTTTCTTTGCATATCAACAGTTGATGTCTGTTTAGCATCTTCCATCAGAGAGTAAGAAAGCATGCTACAAGTCCTTCAGATGAGTTACCACCCAGAGACAGTACTTGCCCTCCGTGGTAACCAATCTGCTTGTGTGTGTAATAAAATTGAAAAGAAATAGAATATTACTAAGCCACCAGCGTCCACTAGCTGTGGGTGAATGGGGATCTCTGCTATGAAGAAACCTCTTTGCTCTGGACTGAATGTTGCCATCTCAGGGATGAAAGGTCCCACTCTTCACAGCATGCCACATCACTGCACAACAGAAACAAGGAACTTTCTGGGAGCTGGAGGATGAAATCACTTAGATGGGATGTAAATTAGCTGATTTGAATTTGTTATAACAGTGGAGCCAACAGTCCCAATACTGAGAAAAACACCATGAGGTTTTCTTCAAGTATGACCTTCCACAGTAACGTAGAGGCACAGAGGTGTACAGATTATTGCAAAGGGAATTAGAGTGTGAAGAAGGAATCTGCTGTACAGGTCTCATCTTTAGTGGATAGGCCAGAGGGTCATTATAAGGACATCCCGTCCCCCTTAGCAGGTCCAGCCCAAGCTGCTGCGCCATGAAACCTTTGTGGACCATTCCTGGATTGACATTGCTCATGCTGAAACACAGCTGGGTCTTTCATTGCATTGGACTTAAGGCAGTCAGGAATGAAGAGAAGATTGTCTGGCCTTTGAGGACCAGTTAAGGCATTGCATGTAACCGTCTTGGAGCTGCATAATTAAACCCGGCACATAGCTGTTAGTCAAGCACACGAAGGCTCTTTCCATAATATTTGTGCTTTGTTAATTGAGAATTCTCAGATGCCCACATTTAGAGGCTTTTAGAAGAAGACTCATTACATTCAGTCCAGGGTCTGTCTGTTCCTTTTGGCCCCTGGAGGTGTGTCTGTGATGCATCGTGCTCCCCACTGGAAAATGGCTTTGGTAAAGTGAATCTTGGATTTAATCAGATGGTGAAATGGTGAGCAAAAAGTCTTTTTCAAATGGCATGAAAGATTACATTCTAACATATGTACAGTGCCAAACCATGCTATTCCTACGGCCTGCTCCTCTGGCTGGCGTAATGAGATACCTGTTCCACCAGCATGCAGCCCTCCATCCTTCCGTGGCTCCTAGCTCCACTGAAATGAATGTCTGTGTTCCGGAGGCTGTATTGTAGCAAAACAATACATTCAGGACAATAAGACAGTAGTTCTTGACCCTGGCTGGTGCCAGAAATACATGCACAGCAACCTGCTTCTACAAAGCATTCAGTATCTCCATTATCGGGTGCTTGTTGTAAGAAGGATCTGAAGATGCTTAGAAGCTTGCAAGCACAAGCCACAAACCACACATACAGATGGATGTAGTCATGTCAGCCATCGCTTGTTTTTCAAATACTTTCTGCCTTGGAGCACTTAAGCGTTTGAGGTTTAGTGTCTAAAAAGTGAGCAAGGAGATACTCAGAAGCAAAATGCAAGCAGAAAAGCATAATCTGCAGTGCAGCCATGTAACTTAGCAGGGCTGCAAAGCAAAGCATCAATTGGCAACCACATAAAAAAAAACAAACCAGAAAACAACAATGACATTTGTAACAGCAACAATAAGATGGGATTTGCCTGTATCCCACATTCACTGATGTTTCAGTGCAGAATGGCCAAATGACTGCAGGTAATAGACAGAACTACGTATTTCAGTGATGTGGTGTTGCATCCTCTCAATAGGTGAGACAGCTGTGCCCACCCGCTCAGGACAAAACTAGGACCTACCTGTAGGTGCTTGATGCTCCCAGCCTCTTTATTTCTGTAGGTGTCCCATCCTAAACACTCTTCCTCTTCCTGCTCATTGTCTTCATCCCCCACACACCCCCACGCACGTGGCTCTGGATCTCCTCATCATGTTCTTCTCGTTAAAAACCCCATTGTTCATTTGTTTGTTTGTTCTCTCTCTTTCTCTCCTCTTTTTCTCTCTCTTTCCCTCTCGTTTTTTTTTTTTCTTTCTTTCTTTCTTTCTTTCTTTTTTTGTCTCCTCTGTTTTGTGTACCCAGGCAGCCCATTGAGTAACTTCTTTGACGTAATTAAACAACTTTTTTCAGACGAGAAGAACGGGCAGGTGAGCCATCCCCCCGGCACGCCAACCAAGCATAGCGCAAACAGCAAGCGGAGCGATTCCGGTTCTAATGACTATGGGTCTAGAGGAGACAATAAGTACCCTGCTGGCAAAGACAAGGCAAAGATGGTCTCATCAGTCGGCCTACAAGACCAACCTTAAATAAACACATAAAAAATTAAATAACTTAGAAACAAAATCAGAAACAAAATAAATAAAGCAAGAAAGAATGAAAGAATATTCCTTAGCGAGCTAGCCTCTAAACTAGAAGGATGTATATACCTTGCCACAACAGTACAAAACTGTCTATAGACAAATTTTGTATGAAGGAATGACTGTATATATATACATATATATATTTATATATGATATATAATATATATCTCAGAAACAAACACAAAAACAAACGAACGAAAGAATGAAAAGAAAAGAAAGAAAAGAAAAGGTAGCACAGATGACAAACCCAGTTCGACAGATCTTGGGTTGTGGTTTTTTTTTTATTGCTTCTTTTTTTTTTTCCTCCCTTTTTTTGAATGTTTTTCTTTTTTTTT